AATGTGATGTGCTATTTAATATATATATATTTATATATATATATATATATATATATATATATATATATATATGAAGAAAATACAGTTAAGATGTGCTATATTTATGGGATAAAGTGCTCAATATCAGAGATAGAGATTGTGTGTAAATATAAAAGTGAACATTGAAGTCAACACTTAGAGGCAACAGTCTGTTTCATGCTAGACGCAATCGCAGAAAGTGTTGATTTCAATGTTCACTTTTATATATATATATATATATTATATTAAGAAAATTACATAATATCTTACGTTAATTGCACAACCCGGAGTTTCATTCCGAAGCAATTTTCCAGGTTGTGCAATTGATGTAACATAATATGTATCTTATATATATAAATCCCTTCGGACATCATCAGACTGAGGGACGAAATACGCTACAACAAATCTTTTTCCACTTTGTCATATATGTTTCCTCCAAAACTAATCTTGATATACAAAAAAAAAAAATACATTTATCCCATATATATATATATATATATATATATATAGGAGCACTCTGACTGATTGGCGTTTGTTTACATTCGTAAAAGCAATTAGCAGTTTCTCTCTGACGAGTGCTGATGGCTTAGGGGTAAAAACTCCGACTGACGTCAAATCGGTCGGGTTGGAGGCTTGAGGCTTTCAGACGTCTAGTCGCACTGAGGAGCTGTGATACAGTGAAACATTACTGTCTGCGAATGATATATATATATATATATATATATATATATATATATATATATAGGTAATAATAATACGTTGGTAAATAATCCAAGTGAATCATATTAATAAAATTATATATAGCGAAGAAAACGGCGAATTACCTCGTCAAACGAAACGACAGCGTGTCGCGTCTATCCTACGGCGAAAAGGAAAATTAGATAAAAAAAAAAAAAAAAAAAAATGGCACGTATTCCGCATGAGATGCTGAAGATGGAATACTTAAATTAGAAACAAGTCAGTCGCAGGAGAAATTCAGCTTTTATTTTCTGGTATTTATATTAAGATGTATTAAATAACTTAGGGCATACCACCTTTTGTTTGAGCCCACTCATTTTTCAAGTGAGCAAGTCTATTGGAGCATCTAACTGACAAGTGCTTCTTGTTGCCCAGGTGTTGCCTTTTAGATTGACTGTTTAAACTATAAATAGCTCTGAATGACTATTCTTGACTTTAGCCTTGGGTTTCACATATAAAGACTTCATTTCTTGTTAAAAAGGATAAACCAATATGAAGACGAGAGAGATCTGTCTATGGGAAAAGAGCAAAGCCAATTTGAAGTTTGATAAAAGAAGGAAAATCGATCAGTCATTGGGCAAACATTGAATTTGCAAGGAAGTACAGAGATGAGTGACAAAAGTTCTGGAAGAAAGTTGTATGAACTGACAAGACCAAGATTAATCTCTACCAAAATGTGGAGAAAGAAAGGATCTTATCTAAAGCATACAAGCTCATCTGTGAAGCATGATGGAAGCAGTAGCTTAGCTTGGACTTGCATGACTGCTTTTGGAACAGGCTCATTTATATTTATTGATGATGTAACTCATGATGGTAGCAGCAGAATAAATTTAGAAGTTTACAGAAACATTTTGTCTGCCAATTTACACAGAAATGCATCTAAATTAACCAGAAGGAATTTTATCATGTAGCAGGACAATGACCCAAAATGTACTTCCAACACAACAATGGACTTCATCAGGGAAAAAAAATGGATAGTTTTAGACTGGCCAAGTCAATTACTGGACCTTAACCCAATTGAGCATGCATTTTATCTCTTAAAGAGGAAACTGAAAGAAGGTGATATGCTATAAAAGATGGCATGTTCTAATACTTTTGAATGGAACTGAAAATATTTAAAACAATAACAAAGATTGTATTTTGCCAAAAGATGGCCACTCAGGGTAATTCTGGATGATGATGTTTGTAAAACAGTCTTTGTGACTTCAGTGCTTAATATAAAAAAAATTAGACTATTAATAATAAAGTAGATTTGTTTGCTTACGACTCAGTTTTGTGGAATCACATCCACTATTCAGGATTCTTGATGGCAAATTTATTTTATCTAAAATATATAGAGTAGGATCAGTTTGCAAGAATAGAAAATCTTAGATACTTGTCAATGTAGATATCATTTTGCGCACTTAAAAACGTGTGGATTCAAACAAAAGATGGTATGTCCTAAGTTGTTTAACACATCTAAATGTAAATACCAGGTAATAAAATATTAAAAAATTAAAAATAATTCTGAACTTTTGTCTCAGAATCATCTTTTGAACTTAAACGCAAATGTCTTTAGTGAACAAACAAAAAAAAAAAAATAAACAAATAAATTGGCCTTGCAATTGCAATATTTAAATATATATATATAATTCAGTTAAAAATCACAAAAAGAATGCAAGAAAAATTTAACAAAAAGCTTAATCTCAATACCTTGTCAGTCGTCTTCAATGAAACGTATATATATATATATATATATTACACAAAAAAATCCAGAATTTACCTCACGTGGGTATAGATCTATTTCAATCAACGCAAAATACGCTGGTCTTATTCAACCCCTGTGGACCGACTGTGTGCTCGTATCGGAATTAGAGATTTAAAATTTAACTTTGACAAAAATCGAAAAATTAATACACAATTTACCCATATCGATGCCTCAGTCCATAAATTCAACCCGGATATTAACCTTATGACCTTGAGTTGGGGGTCATATGAAAAATAAAGCCTTGAAATGAAACTGAAGTAGGGCCAAAAAGGGAATTTTATATTTTTTTTAATTATATATAAAGAAATTTAGGGGTTGCATTTTAAAATGATCAAATTATACGCACAGATGAGATATATTAAGTGAAGTAAATTTTAGATTTTGTTTGTTCTGTAATTTATACGCTGTTATAATGAATATATTGAGTTCGTTTTGTGGATCAGTTTCAATATTAGATATTATTAGGATCCATTTGGATTATAGACCAACGGATTTATTACCTGTAATATATATATATATATATATATATATATATATATATATATAGTAACTAATTTAAAATATGTTTTTTTGGTTACACAGTAATAACCATGTTTCAAAAATGGAAGCTAAAAAGCTTCAAATTTAATTTTGTAATTAAATTAAAAACATTACTTCCATTTCATCCTCAAGCGAATTTTATTCTAAGTTCTTTAGATATCAGTTGATACGTGATAGCTGTAGGCTGAATGTCGACCTTCGCGGAAATTGACAGTTCATCAAAGATAACGTGGAACATGCTAAGTTTAAGCGTAATCTTCGTAAAGATAATCTTGAAGCGCTACCTTTGACACTAACCTTACGGTATGTATGCAATTTATGTGGTAATTTTGTTCTTTTGAAGGCAAGTCTTTAAAGTCACCTAAGGTCTCATAACGCTCGATCCATTGAATGAATCTTTGTGCCTTCTTGTACACTCTGCCATAATGCAAGTCAGCTTCTAGATTAGCAAGACATGAAAATTCACGTTGATAGCATGCCTGTTCGGCTTAGGGGTCTCCCCTACAGGTGGAACATTTGCACAAAAGCTTGTAAAAGTTGGACTGGTTTAAAAGTCATCTGCGCTCCCATGATTGGGGAGTCTGAAAGTTATAAAAAAAAAACTATTTTGTTGTGAAAATGGTCAAGAATCGACAATCACCATATATATATATATATATATATATATATATATATATATATATATTTCAGGAGGATAGAATACAGGTAGAACTCAATGTCCAGGACAGATGTGAATTGGATCGTGATTACGATTCCAATGTAATAAATTATAACCATGGAATATTCGTGTTTGAACCTTTTATGTTATATTCTTACTCTGTCCTGACGTTGAGTTCTACTTGGATTCTATCTCTTGTGAATATATATATATATATATATATATATATATATATATATGACACTAATATTATCAATATATATATATATATATATATATATATATATATAATTATTTTAAAAGTATGATTCCTTTGCTACATAAGAGTTCTCATGTTTCAAAAAACGAGAGCCGAAAACCTCAATATAATTATTAAAATTAAATTGAGTTAAAGTATCAACCCCTGTTTCATCCTCAAGCGACAATTTAGAAATTTCGGCTCTCGTTTTTGAAACATGAGAACTCTTATGTAGCGAAGGAATCACATTTTTTTTTAAATAATTATAATTTAAGCTCTACTTCTGTATGGAGCACTGTTTTTTAAAATTAAAAACAAAAATACTATAAGAATATATGTGTGTGTGTGTGTGTATTAATCAATTCAACAATTATTTTAAGACATTTTTTTTATGTTTATACATTCTTTTTTTGAAGATACAAATATTTAAGTAAATGCTCTGTTTATAATAAACAGTATTTATAACATTTACCAGCCTGAATATCCGATAAATTTTCATAGAAAATATGCGTCCTCCGACAGGAATCGAACCTGTATCTTATACGGAACCGTCATATAGCCTGACGTGCTTTTATCGATTGAGCCACAGAGGAGCGTTTTCGGTTAGCAAGGTCCATTTTACTGTTTTTAAACTACAATTTTCCATGATTTTCTCTCGTACATTCATATCTGCTCGATGCATATCCAAATGTAAACAAGTGAGGTCACACATTATGAAATGGACAAAGTCCGACAATTATTTTAAGACAAAAAAAGAACGTTTAAACATAAAATATATATATGTATATATATATATATGTATATGTGTGTGTGTGCGTATTTAAGATATTGTGAGAAGGTATATGTACTTGTGCGTGTGTGTGTGTGTGTGTGTGTGTGTGTGTGTGTGCAAATATTTCCGGTAATAAAATCAATGTTAAATGTATTCCCTGAAACTTTCTGCGCATGCGTGAGTGATTTTTTTTTTTTTTTTTGCTTTCGTTTGCATTTTAGTGGAAGGTAAGCCAGGCATTCTGTGGGGGTGCTTCTTTCTCCGATCTCAGATCTCCTGGCGTTCATAAATGTTGAGACCCCACTTCATAAGAGCTATCAATTATTCTGTATTTCTTCACCTCCCCACTAAGTGTCGATCACCACCTGGTCCCCACCCGTCAAAGCCACGCGCGAATGGCATTCCGGAATCTAAGGTTCTCGTGTGAGTTGAAGCGGGTACAATCGCGCCGGGTACGCATGTAGGAAAATGTTACACTTTGGTTAACTGGAGAAACAAAATCTATCTATCTATCTATCTATCTATCTATCTATCTATCTATCTATCTATCTATCGCGCGCACACACACACACACACACACATATACTTTTCACTTCATTACCATTCCATCTATTCTGTCACTTCATATTCTATCTATCTATCTATCTATCTATCTATATATATATATATATATATATATATGATGCATGCATATATGTATATACTTTTGAGTTCATTATCTATCTATTCTTGTCACTTCATTATCTATCTGTATGTATATATGTATATATTTTTCACTTCATTATCAATCTATTTATTCGTGTCAGTTCATTTTCTTTCTAGCTATCTAGCTATCTATCTATCTAAGAATGTTATTTATCTATTCTGGTCACTTCATTTTCTTTCTTCCTTTCTTCCTTCCTTCCTATCTATCTATCTATCTATCTATCTATCTATCTATCTGTAAAATCCTTTAATATACTTTCATATCTGCCTTTTTTATACTTTCATATCAGTCCCAAAATTGGCCAATTTTCTTTTTAAAATATACTTTAGATTTCATTAAATGACGATTTTATGAAGCAGTAATTAACAAAAACGAAAAAACACAAATACGATCTTTAATAGCAATAAACTACATTCATACAAACACGCACACGCACACATCTATATAGACCGGGTGTAACAGCCAAATTGTCCAAATCGCGTAACAGCATAATTGTCCTTCCCACAAAATGATTAATATTTAAAAAAAAACCAACTAAACTGAGTTTCTTTTTATCCAGGTTTTCAGATAAGACGTTTGGCCATCTTGACACCATTTGTCGTATGAATCACTGAAAAAACCTTTGAGTTATTCAGCTAGAAAAAGAACAGTTTAAAATCCTTTTGTGTCAGACCCACTCATTTCCTAGATGAGCAATGGTGAGAGGAAAATGATAATTCAGGCCTTCAGTAATGGTACCGACATTCATACTCTGGCTTCCCTTTTCAAAGTCCATTCAAGAACCATCAAGAGAATGGTGAATAAGTTTGAAAAAGAGGGATCAGTAGAAAGGAAAACTGGATCAGGAGGTCACAATAGCAAGAGGGATCATCATTTCAACTTAGACCTAAATACATTTTTATGGCTCAAAGTAGACTCCAATAGTGTTATAAAAATCTCGGAGAATTCCACTAAGATATCTTTAATCCAACGGTTCAAATCTTAATTTTGTTGTTACACCCACCTGTTAATTATATATATATATATATATATATGTTATATTATATATATATATATATATATATATATATTGTTATCCACAGACAGACCGTTTCTCTGTATCACCGCTAACTTTTAAAATCAGGAGGTCAATTAAAATACGCAACCTCCTCATTAATTGATCTCCCGATTTTTAAAGTTAAAAGCTCTACAAGTTATTTTTACTTTTATTTCTTCACGCCTGTATTCAGTACTTTTTAATATTACTCTTTCCTGGTCTGAATCAAGTCTGACCATTGATTTTAATCTATCTATCTATCTATCTATCTATCTATCTATCTATCTATCTATCTGTCTATCTATGTATGATTGTTTTTTAAAAATATGATTCCATCTCGACACAGAAATCACAATGTTTCGAAACTGGTGAAGCGTATTCAAATTTAATTTCAATATTCAAATTTAACTTTTGGATGACAGTTTCATCCTGAAGCGATGTTTGGAGTCTAAACATCGCTTGAGTAGGAAATTTAGGCTGTACTTCTGTATCGAGCACTGTTTTTTAAAAATAAAAAAAAGAACTTAGGATCATCAATCTAACAGTTCTTTCCTATTGTATCAATACACAGACCCCGCCTATATATATATATATATATATATATATATATATATATATATATATATATATATATAAGAATCCAATAAAACACCTACAGTAAAATCAAATTAATATGAAAAGCGAGATGTAAGCCATTGAATGACCCATGTCCTTTGTACTTACATGAGAAACTATATATTATTGGATTTATATAAAATATATAAAAAATAAAAGTTTATTAATCAGAGAAATTAATTAGCTATTTTTGCCGTCATTGTCAAAAATTTTACTTAAATAATATTTAAATATAAATTTAAAAAACAATGTGACCTAATAATATACATACTTATACTTGATGTGAAAATAATTCTACATACTGTAAGTGATTCTAATACATTTACTTGTTTTAAAAAGAAATATAGTATATTAAAAATTAAAAGTGATCTTTTTTTAAAAATCGTAGTTAAATAAAACGTATTCTAACCTAAACACCCACCTCCAAAAAAAAATCTTTAAGTATGCAAATACAAAAAAATGCCGTAAGAATTTTTGCCGTTAACAATAATTTAAAAAAAAATCCAGACGACATGCATTTAACGGATGTCAGAATTCATTGAAAAATACATCTCTACCCCCTACCAAAACGTAACTAATAACTGATACATCAAAATACAGCGATAATGAACATGCAAACACCCCTTGTCTGGATGAATGGATTTCCCTGTATCCTTGGAAACGTGAATTAAGATTTTTGCTGTGTTTTTAAAACCCAGTAATTTTAAAAGTTACTCCAAAATTCGCTTGAGGATGACATGGAACTAATGTCTGTAATTTAATTACAAAATTAAATTCGAAGCTTTTAGCTTCCATTTTTGAAACATGGTTAGAACTGTGTAGCGAAAAAAAACCATATTTTAAATCAATTAATTTATAATATTAATACTCTGTAAATTTACATAGAGCACTATTTTGTAAAAATAAAAATGTCTATAAGAACACCGGATTATATATCTTACTGTTCTTTCTTTATATATATATATGAAACATATCTTCTTTCCAGCAAATGTTCTACATAACTTTTATTTATTCCATACATCATCAAATTCTGTAACAACAACAAAAAAAAAAAATTCTAAACAGGCTGTAAAAGCGACACCGATCACTTCTTTGTTGAGAAATAAAAAATACTTTCGGAAGATTAGATTGAATGCAAGATGCCAGAGGATCAAAGATGAACAATGAAAATAATGCGATACTGAAATTCGAATGACCCTTGAAATAGCGATAGATGTCTTTTCGAAAGGAAAGCCAAATAATAAGAGAAGGAAGATGTCTTTTCGAAACAAAGCCAAATAATAAGAGATAGGAAGATGTCTTTTCGAAACAAAGCCAAATAATAAGAGATAGGAAGATGTCTTTTCGAAACAAAGCAAATAATAAGAGATAGGAAGATGTCTTTTCGAAACAAAGCAAATAATAAGAGATAGGAAGATGTCTTTTAGAAACAAAGCCAAATAATAAGAGATAGGAAGATGTCGTTAGAAATCTTTAGAATATCAATAAGCGCAATTTTCTCTTGAAGCGACAGAGATGTTCCCCCGAATGCTCTGGAGAGGTAGTATGAACAATAAAGAATTCTTAAGGAAAAGAAGAAACTACAAGGAAACATATTTACAATCAGAAACAGACAGCTGGAATTTCTGAGACATATAATGAGGAAAGAGGGCATAGAGAATATAACACACACATGATACATTGAAGGCAAGCGATGTGGGAGAAACAGGAGTAAATAACTTTGGGAAAATGGGCAGAACAAAGACCATGAAGATACAGGAAGACGTGGAGAACCATTATCACGAAACATAAAAATTAAATTGGTAAGGGAAGTCCCTTTATTTCATGGTCAAATTCCCCGACTTTAAGGCAACAATTCACACACACACACATGTATATTTATATATATATATATATAGATGTAGTGTGTATGCCTGTAGGTGTGCCTATGCGATGTTACGAGTGGAAGACGTCAAATAGGGGTGTTCGGGTGTGTGAAGGCAAATTTGAGGCCGGTGTGTGTTCGTGTAGAGAAATGACTTAAGGGGTGGGTAAGTTTGAGAAAGCGTAACATCCAAATTCGGCGGGCCGTTACGGGTAGATATTATTGAAGGACTGGGGGAAGGGCGTGAGTGGCGAAGTGATGGGGTGGCAAAAGGCAAAAGTAAAAAACATAGGCAAATAGTAACCAGTATATGTCAAGATATACATATGACACAGAATACTGATATATATATATATATATATATATATATATATATATATATATATATATATATAATAATAAAATGTAATGTATGAGTGTATGTGTACTTACTTTGGTTGTGGAGATAAAACAAAAGTAAAGGGAGGGGTGAGGGAAGTTGATATGAAGCAGAGTTTCAGATAACAGGTGTATATATATATATATATATATATATATATATATATATATATATATATATACAGAGAGAGAGAGAGAGAGAGAGAGAGAGAGAGAGAGGCACATACATGCACATATATCGATATACACACAAGTATACATATACATATATGAATACAAACAGACAAAAATGCAAACATACGCACATACGCACGCACACACATATATATATATATATATATATATATATATATATATATATATATGTACTATAGACAAGAATTTTGGGTCCGCTGTCTAAAATTAAAAATTAAAAAGTTTAATATACTCTTCGGTTTAATTAAATTCTACTAAACTCCTGAAACTATTTTAATTAGATCATATTTTAAAATGGTATTACCTGAAGTTTCAAATCCATCAGATTTAAGATTATCGTTAGTCAGAGAATGAATTTGGTCTTTTTCTCCATATCTCATTTTTCTAATGAAGCTTTAATAAAATGAAATATCATTGATAAGCATTTCCTATTTGTTCCTTATCTTATCACACACACACACACACACACACACACACACACACACACACACACACACACACACACACACACACACACATATATATATATATATATATATGTATGTATAATAATACTTTAGATTTATCATCTATTTTGATGTTCCCGCAGTGTACTGGATTGATCAGAAAAAAAATTTAATTTCTGATTCTGTGATAATGTGAGTTCATCTGCAAAAAACACACACACACACACACACATATATATATATATATATATATATGTGTGTGTGTGTGTGTGTGTGTGTGTGTGTGTGTACATTACAGCAAAAAAAGACAAAATTACCTCAACATAGAGATAGTCTATTTCAAGCCGTTCTGTACACGGCTATCATCAGCCCCTAAGTGTCACACACACACACACACACACACACACACACACACACATATATATATATATATACATGGTGAAATTGAAACCAAACCTTAATAAAATTAACTATGAATACTGTACAAATGTTCTAAAATGCTTCCAATAGATCGACTGAAATATCAATTTCTATATTAATAGGTTTCCTTATTTTTCAAAAAGAACTCTTCAGCCATCATAATTAGTTACCTCCCTTTGATCGTAAACATACACCGCATGGTACAAAAATTAACGTCAAATTATAACTCTCAGATGAACATAGTAATTTGATCTTTTGCATGTAATGAACACTACATTCTTCTCTTAGAAACACCACCTGAGTATGACATTGTGATAATGTCGAAAGTACTCGAATTAAAAAAAATAGGTATCAAGACAATAATTTTCCCTCTTTTTTCAATGCCGACACCAAAAAGTTCATTTGAGAATATGAACGGATCCTATTGAAAATAAAACAAAACTTGTCTAAATTATTCAACAAAACTTGCCTCAATATATATATATATATATATATATATATATAGGGGGGTGTGAAAGAAGGATTGTTGCCTAAATAAATAAATTTCCATTCAAATCCATTACATTCACTTACCTGATAATACCACTGGGAAAAGGTATGAATCCTCTTCTCCTCCTCCTGGCTATGAGTAAGTAGACCGGGTTCTATAGCCTTGGATGGCAACTGGTCTACCATAGAAAGAAATGGCAACCTACCGTGGGAAAAAAAATATGCCTCGTCAATCATGTACCAAAAGATACCTGATCGCCTAAGTGTATATCACGCATGGCACATAACTGAGTGAGTATATATATATATATATATATATATATATATATATATATATATATATATATATATATATATATATATATATATAAATACGGAAACAACATATATAGCAAAATTATATATATGAAAATTACATGAATTTGACATGTTTTTCATACTAGCAGATAAATGTGTTGAATAAATAATAAAAGATTATAATGTTTAATAAATCAAGAAAAATTACTCTCTCTTTCCCCCTCTCTCTCTCTTTCTCTCTCCCCCCTCTCTCTCTCTCTATATATATATATATATATATATATATATATATATATATATATATATATATATATATATATATATATATATATATATGTGTGTGTGTGTGTGTGTGTGTGTATGTGAGCGGATTTGTCTGTGTGTGTGTATATAAACTCGGGTCCCATGCACAGAAAGCAAGCACTGTAATAATTCGGCCGCATGCTCATGTCTACGATATATATATATATATATATATATATATATATATATATATATATATATATATATATATATATATATATAAAGTAAACATTGAAGTCAGTACTTAGAGGTAACAGCCTGTTTCATGCTAAACGCCATCGTCAGGCCACGATTGCGT